TATATTTATCTATTTATTTATTTTATCCAGCAGCACTGGAGGTGAGCAATGGGCCGGTTATTTATGTTTATATTTATCTATTTATTTATTTTATCCAGCAGCAACTGGCCTCATCAACGAGGCCAGTGACCCCCACCTATTCTTCTCTCACCCCCCTCTACCCCACTAATTTACCCAATGCTACGTTCAACATTTTCTGGTCTGTTGTTGGACATTCAATATTTTATTTTATTATTATTATTTATTTTATTTTATTCTATATTTTTATATTTTTATTTCTACATTGTATGTCGTTTCTTGTTTCTCATAGAAGTGTTGTGCACCAAACACCAAAGCAAATTCCTTGTTGGTGAAAAACCTACTTGGCAATAAACCTGATTCTGATTCTGATCTATATTATATGACGTTGTTTTATTTATGGAGCAAGTAACAAAAATAATTTCCCTCTGGGATTGTTAAAGTATTTCTGATTCTGAACCGGGCCGGAACCATCCAGAACCCCTCACTCAGCACCTGGCTCACACATAATAATATCCTGATAATTCACAATAACAAGCTGATAATTTTCTGCAAATAACTTGCCATTTTGTCTGTGCTGTTCTAGTGACTGGTGGAGTAATCATGTAATAATTCCTTATGACTAGATTTTGTATTTAATTTTGCATATTGAAGTGGACATGTTAAGAGCAATTTGAAAGAAGAAATATAAAATATGAAATAAATACATTTTTGTGTTTATTCGATTCCTATTCAAGACACTTAAGATAAAAATAAAATAAGAATAACTATAGTGTTACTATAAAAATACATTTTTGTGTTTATTTGATTCCTATTCAAGACACTTAAGATAAGATAAGAATAAAATAAGAATAACTATAGTGTTACTATAAAAATACATTTTTGTGTTTATTTGATTCCTATTCAAGACACTTAAGATAAAATAAGAATAAAATAAGAATAACTATAGTGTTATTATAGGCGGCTACAGATTTGTTTGACATTTTTGGTTGGTGGTGTGCCTCGAGATTCTTTACAATGAAAAAATGTACCTTGGCTCAAAAAAGGTTGAAAAACACTGTTGTAAAGGGCTATACAGATAAACCTGATTGATTGATTGATTGATTGATTGATTGATTGATTGATTGATTGACAGACGTGGCATTTCCCTGCTCACCCCTGTGTTTCCCCCCCCCCCCAGGTTGATCGGCTGGGGGCAGATCAGGAGGGGGGTGACCATCACACCCACAGTGGACGATGACTGAATGGGGGGGGGA